TGTTTGTTCTATAGCTATTTTTGTTGTTGCACGCCCCCATTGGCCAGCAGTGCTTGACCAGGTTCGTGACGTCGTACACTCTCAACTAATCCAACACCAGCCAGGGATCGTCAGCTTAATCCCAATTGGTGAGCCCTAGGCATTCGAGGACGTGAGCAGGCGAGGCCGGCTCAAAAGAACAGTTAGTACACGTTTCAAAGCTCTTGTGGATCCTTCGGAAAATTTAATTCATTTAAGGTGACAACTTCGAAAGCGGGTTGGAATAGCGTGTTCCTGTATATTAAAACCGTAGTTGTATTTCTAAAAACCTTTAGCGTTTTCCCTTTAGAGTTGTAACAATCTAAAAGTCGCCAAATCTGGAATTAATCACCAAATCTGGAAATGGGAAATCACTATTCCTGATGATCCTGATCAGAACAGTAGTACAAGATTATTAAATTGTTATACTGTCATCGGTCCTTGACAAGTGGGTAAAATTTCGAATTAACATGACCTTTTAAAGTGGTTAGAAATCAAGTTCAAAGATTCTGTTACATACAGGTGAAGCTAATAAAAGTGTGTTAAAAATATTAAAAATTGCTGTATCTTTCATAAGTATGATTGGTTATTTTTTCGATCGAGCGGTACGCTTACAGATTTTATAGAACGGTATTCACGCACAAGTATTCAGTCTAAAAAAAAGTCGCGTGAAATTAATTTGCAACAATTTGTACAGTCTATCAAAAACAAAATTTATTACAAACAACATTTACCTCAAGAATCGTAAAAGTATAGAATTCTTTTTCATTAGGCTATTCAAAGTAAAATATAGGGCAATCTCCACCTATCCTAATCTTGGTCTACATCATTTTTCTGAACAAGGTACATTCTTTCCAGAATTTGGAGAAAGGTTCATAAAACAGGATAGACGAGGGCGTGATTGAATTTTAGTGTAGTTTTTATAACCCAGGGTGTTTGGAGTACCAAACAAAAGGTAACTAAGACCGATGACACTTAAGATGGATTTTTACTAACTCTCCTTTTCTAAAGGCCTTTTTTAACGAGTACCCCCTTGTAACTGTCGTTCTGTAATGCTTTTGAACCCTGACCTTCTTTAAATCTTTCCAGAGGGGACATTGGGAACAGTATGACCTCAATAAAAAAAGGACCTCACCCGCTTATGCCTTGAAGATTCGATTATGACGACGTAGCCTTTTTAACATAGGAAATCTGATACTTGAAGACTCACTTTATAATGTTTCTGTCGTGCGATGGATTGAAAATGCAATGAGTCCATCCATCTTGTAGAATTTTCCTGTACGGGAGCGGCAGGTGTGAAGACCATTCCTTTTTTTTGTTTTGTTTTCCTCATTTGTCTCGTGTAGAATTTTTAGGTAAACGGCGTGGGTCGAAATGGATCAACGAACCATGGGACAAAGGACTTGGGGAATCCGCAAATAGCTGCGGTCAGTAGGTCACTCTCGCTCTGTCCTTTCTCTTTCAACATCGTATACACATTTGGAAATTTTTCTTCCCATTATACTCAAATGAATTGTTTTGATATTTTCAGAATAGATAATTTTCCTTCGACACTGCCAGTATATCTATCATGACATTGATGAATGTTTTTCGATGATTTTTGTTGAGAATATACTATTTTGGGCGAGGTTTGTGTAAAAAAAGAAGAGTTTTTTTTATTGTTAAAGAATTTGATTTTTGTAAATCATACTGTAAATGGACCTCAAATAAAAGTTAAGAGTATTTTTTTAAAAAATTAAAATGTAATTGAGGATATTGTATTTTCCGTACAGAAAGCCTCTCCAATTTCCTTTAAAAAAAGGATCAGCAATTTTGCAGAAATTAATTTACTTTGTTCAAGTTTAAGGTCGAAAAATGACCTACTAATCGTTTCTTCCACAATCATTACTCATATATCCAAGGAAAAGAGTTTTCAATTAGTTTTCCGCTCTTAAGATAAGATAATCTTTATTTACAGCTAAGTTTTCCTTCAACTCCAAAGTCATTACATAAATAACTTTTTTAAAGCAACATAGAAAAAAAAAAAATTCTTTAGTTAAAAAAAATGTTTTTTACAACAAAAGTTTTATTTGAATTTTTTAAATATATTTTTCTGTATTTTAGTCAGTGCCGGGTTATCCATTGGACGCTTGGGGAGGGCATCCAGGGGCCTCGATAAGCTGGACTTAACCAGAGTTTCTTGTTGTAAATTTCGATCCCTCAGTGTCAAGGGGGCCTGTAGATCTTCTGCGCCCAGGGCCCGAAATGATCTTAAATCGGCACTGATTTAAGTAATTAAAATAAGTTACAGTAAAAGTAATTTAGAAGGGGTTTATTTTAAGAGGTGAAGAGTTATGAGAGATAGGTAGCAGTTGAAAAAATTAGATATTCTTAATTTTATATTAATTAAAAATTATTTTTAAAAATATTCTTAAGTCAGAAAAAGAGTACTTTTTCTAAATTTTCGAATCTCAAAATATTTTTTGTAATTAATTTATTTGTATATTTCAAATTGTGACGCACACATCAAAAGCTTAGGACAAAATTGCGATACATTTTCACGTTGACGAGACAAACTTGCGACGATTATAAGGCAAAGCGGACAAGAGACAATCAGCAATGACGTCTTGGACGACATAACACAAAGCCAAAGAGAGCTGCAACTATTTAAATTTTTACGTGGACGAGACTGAGACAAAAAGCACGGCGACGATTACATGATGAAAGCAAGCAGAAAAAAGAGGGCGATCACACAAGATTTTCGCTTTTATACCGTCAGTGACAAGCGCGTGACTATTATGTAATAGTAGTTCTGATTGGATAGAAAGGGTGGGTCAGGGATTTTGGACTAGTTGATTATGATTAAGATTAAAGTGTTATTTTCGAACCAAAGAATTAAAGCTTGTTTAAATATTAGTAAAAAGAGTTAACAAAAAGGATGCCAGAGGGAATTATTTTACACACACACACACACACATATATAATCTAATATAAAAAATTCAATATATAAAAATATATACGTACACATATATATAAATTTATACATACCTATACATATACACAAATATATAAACGAAAATATAAAAATAAACAGATAGTTATATACCTAAGATAACTAAAAAATTAGGAAGAAGGCACAGTAGTATAATGACAAACTCCTGGCCTTAGGAACCAGGATTGCAGGTTTAAAGATGTTTTGCGGCCAACCAAACTTCACCTGTAATTTGTCATACTATGTACCAAGAGGAAAGAAAAGAATTATATATGTGGAATTTAAATATTTAAAATCATTAAACTAAATAACATATGAACAAAAACGTAACCTACTTTTATTCGGAGTGTAAACGATGGCCAAGAGTGCACCAACAAGTAATGTGTTCCCGCCAAATACGAGGCAGTGAGAGCAGAACCGCATAAAATTAATTGCGATACGATATTAAGAAATTTATATATATATATATAAATTTCGTAATTGTTTAGCGAACCTATATTTACATTTTTTTAAAATTGATCATGTTGTAAATGATTCTTACTTGATTTATCGTTATATAGATGATTTAATAATTTTTGGTAAAAATAGTGAATACAAACCAAATATTACGTTCTACCCTGATTATCTCAAGCTCCTTAAAACTAACTTCAACTCTAATATGGTAGAATTCTTGGATTTAGACTTGCATCTTATTAACAATAATGTAGTCAGTAACATTTTTGACAAAACAGATTCGTTTAAATTCCATATAATTAAAATTACTGTATGGAATAGTAACTTGCATATATCAATTTACAGAAATATCATTTTGAATTTTTTATTTAGAAATGATAACTTAACTATCCACAAAATAGATAAATACAATAATATAAAATTTTTTTTCAATGTTGTTTAGATCATAAATACCCTTTTAATTTCTTAAAAACTTATATTCATCACAAATACATTAACCGTCTTGCTACTTCTAATTCCAAAACCACCACACAACAATAGGATTTCAAAGTTAGCATGTTAGTGGTCTTGCTGTGAAGATTATATCATAACACTCATATCACAGTTTACATTTTTTCCACACACATCTTGAACATCTTACACATTGTTGACAACCAACCAAATTAGAGCATAGCAAATTTACATTTTTGACAATCAACCAATTCAAATTCTACCATATTTGATTGTCGTCTTTTTTAATATCTGTCTTTGCTGGCTGGTTTCAAAGTTAGCTCAAAAGATGTGTTTATGTATATTTGAATTTTTTAACTTGGTGAATAATTAATTTTCATTGATGTCAAGACGCTTGATTCTCTTCGTAAAAGCTCTGTGAGTAAAGAAATTTTGTTAAATTATTTTTTGAAAAATACTTTTCTTATGTAATTGTTTTAGGATTTTTCTACTATTCTTACGTAATTATTTTGCGATTTTTCTGCATTAAGAGTTTGGGAGAGTTTGTTACATAATAGTAGTGAGTGGTTTTATCACCATTCTCTGAATTTTTGTTTATTTTATTTTATTTTATTTGGTTTTCCTACCGAGTTGCAAAGGGGAAGGTTGGCGCTTTCAAACTAGTTTAACCCCACTTATTCGGTCCTAAGTCCGAAATTGCTTTCTGACTCGCTAGGTTCTTCTTTTTTGTAGTTTCTTTTTTTTTTTCTATTTCTCTATAATTTTGTTCTTCATGTTCAGCTTTTATATTTTTATTACGCTATTTCTTGTTATGTTCATTATCTATTATTTCTTAAATTTTTTGATATATAATAACATATTTCTTTCATATATATTCATATATATATATATATCTTGTTCAAATTTTCAATCGTTTATAAAATACTTTTTTATTTATCCACTCAAGTTCAAATACATTTTTTTTAAACTTGTAGTGGATAACACTTGATGCTAACATAGTTTTTTTTCAAACAATAATTCATTAATTCTAATTAATAAACGAATAAATAGTCACAGAAACAAAAATAATAGTCCAACACCATATATAGAAAGGAAAATCGTTCGTTGTGTCCTTGTAGTGTAATAGATAGCGCGTTGGACTTCTCATACAAAGGTTGTGGGTTCGAATCCCACCTGGGATGACCTAATTTCTTAAAATTTTATTTCTTTTTTACTGTATTATTTTATTAGAATAATTAAATTTAATTAATGATTAATTGAATTAATTTAATTTGCATTAGTTTTAATACTTATTGCTTCTATAAGTTTTGATTTCAGTATACACACTAAAATTGCTGTGAAAGATACCTTTTGTATTTATCTCTATTTTTATTGTTAGTCAAGTAGTTATGTTTGATTAAATTCTATATTTGTAGTAATATAACTCAATAAATACCTTGCGGTAACATTGTTTTTAAGGTATTGACATTTTTGTGTTGCTTGCTAAAAAATGCTAATATTTCAAATAAAAATGGTAACCTCTTTATCAAATTATTTATTGTAGTTTAGAATCAAAAAGCAAACACTTATTAATGCTTCTTGAAAAAATTTCTATTTTTCTGCTACATAGTTGTTTTTTTTTGCGGTTGACGCATGGCTTATTTTCAAAACTTTTTTCTCAAACACTAAGTTTATTTTAGAAAATCCAATCATTTATTTTATAATAATAAGACTACTTTTTGAGATAAAAGATAATATTCCATATAAACATCACACGAAGAGACTATAATTTGAATATTTACTATTGAGATCTCAAGGTAAAGTTTATGAATAAAAGGAAATATGGGGCGAGAGATCTGAATGTAAATCAGGTATTATCTTAGTTGTTGATCAACATTAAGGATATTGGTATAATTCATCTTAGCCTATAGAATTTATAGGCAAGTTTTTATTCATTTTTATATCGTAATAATCTGGTAATCTTTTTCAAAGATGAGTTTCTAGATTTTAATCATTCATTTTCGATTGTTAGGTTGAATTCTTGCTGGAAGCAATGCCATTTTTTTATGAACTAAAAATTATTGTGTGTGCATCGGTATCGTATGTTTATAAGCAAATTATTGATACGTGATTGCTCGCTAGTTTTTATTAATCTAGTTATTTTTTTTACGAAATGTATCGAGGCTTTATTGAGGAAAATATAAAGAATGAAAAACAGAATTTTATGCATATCATGTATTTCGTAAAAATAAAAATAAAAATACATGCTTTTTTTATGGTTTTCTTAAATGCTGTTTATTTTCGACTATTTCCTTATGACTTAAATTAGGGTTTAAAGAATTAGTTATTACCATAAGTTTTACATCATAGTACGTTTACGCGAAAGATTTAGAAAGTTAGTTGATGAATTCTACTTTTTCAATTCTACCGTCTATTCCAAAAATGGAACACGAATTGCATTTAAAATTGTACAATTGGCTTTAAGAAAAACATATACCAAATTCAAATAAAAGAAATAGAATAAAAAAGTTTCCGTATACAATAAACTTAAATTAATTTGTCTAAAAATTGGTAAAACGGGAGAAGTCTGCTTAATTTGTATTTACGTAAGCACTTTTCTATTTAGGTTAATCCTATTCAATTATATACTCTTTTGTCTGAAAAAACAATACGCTGCAGACTTCCTGCCCATCTAGTCTAGGTCTCAACCTAAAATCATTAAACTCTACATGAACAATTTATATTATTTCCCGGTTAATTGCAATATAACGTCAGAATCAACTAGAAGCCATCTAATGATAGGATTAGAAAAAGGTGAACTAAAAGAACTTTAATTAACTTCTAATAGAAAAAGCGCCATTACTCACGTTTTTATTCTATGAAGAACAGCTTCAGTGTTAAAAAAAATCCGCACGGTTCTTTCAAATTATAAATGATTCCAATCTGTTCCAGTTACAGACGAACATCCATTTTAGGGTGATTAAGTAGTCAGGAAAAGATCATTGGCAAATAATCTCTGAAGAAGCGTGGACCGGAAAATAATCACTTGAATGTCTTCCCTTTCCCTTGTACACGCCTCACTAACTTTGAAAATCAATCACCCATCCAGGAATCAGCCGCACCCTGAAGACACGGCAGTTAAAAATTATTGCACAACTCCCTATACAAGAGGCGCGTGTATTTTCATCTGATAGATGAACCTGGTTTGTAATTTATTTAAATACGTGAATTCTTTAATGCAGTAACTGTGCTTCAGTTGCCAAGAGGTCGTCCACACACTTCAACAGAATCACCTTTGATGCGGAAGAACAATCAAATTTGGCATGGCTAATTTTAGAAATACAGTCGATATTCCATCTGTAAAATAATATACATACTCATTTTTCACCTAGAAGAAAACAATAGTTATATGATTGATGATTCTTATGTATGTTTGTCTCGTTAAACGATTGAAAGTTAAGAGCTGGGAAAATTTAATTTAAAAAATCATGGTTTGAACTCAAATTGATTGGATCGAAATGTTCGAACAAATTTAAATTTAAAAACGCATCTGTATAAAAGAGCACAATTCAGGTCAAGTTAAGCGGATTCTTGGAAGTAATTCTATTCGTTTTTGCTCCACCATTGTTGGTATCGATCAAAAAAGAATAGGGGAGTGTTCGATAATAGTTCAAAAAGAATATTTAATAGGAAAACAATTTGAAAACGATTATTTCTCTGGATTGAAGAAGTAAAATTAATTTGTTGATTCACATTACCATGTAAAATAAGCAAATGGAAGTATGGTGTTTAAGGAAACAATAGTTTTGATCAAATCCGAAACCAGATTTATACTGAGAGAATCTATAAAAAAGATATTAATATGAAACTAATGCATACAATTCTGTATTAAATTAAAAAGATTTCACAAAGGAGACATAATAAGCAAAAAAATAAATTCAATTTATTATTTACGCAGATTTGAATAGACTATTTGGGGATTTTAATAGCAAAATCTCTCACTACATCAGAAAAAAATTATATTTGTAATCATAAGAAAACTAGCGAAATAGTATGAAATGAATGGGTAGTTCTGAATTTCAAGATTCTTTCTCTCGATCGATTTTTAAATATTGAAGAATATTTTTATTGAATTTGTATTAAATACAATATGTGTGTGTGTGATGTATTGAAATATTTTATGAATGAAAATATTTTATTAATTTCAAGTGGAATATAAGCATGGCCTATAAAAATTTCATTTTAATATTACTACTAGATCCATTCCCACCGTTCCTCTGACTCCAAAAATAGTAAAAGCAGGTGCTTTTATTATTTTACAATATTTTCTGTTCTTAATTTATTATAAAATCTAAAGAAAGGATTCATAAAGATTGATTTCAACTATGAGAAAATCATACACTATTAAAGATAATTTTCTTGACTTTTTATTAGATGTAGTTAAACTATTCGATTGATTCCAAGTACAGGAAAAGTAACATTATGGCCGAATATATTTTCTTTTTGATTCAGCATCAAAATTTTTGAAACTATTAAATTGATACCAAATATGTTTGTGAGTTTATAAAAAAAGAAATATTTTGTAACCTTTTCGTCATAAGCAATGTATTAGATCTATTTAAATAATTTAACTGATTGCCAATATAATATAAGTGAACTATACACAATAATTCATTAAGAGAGGACATCAGAATGTCTGATTCCCTAATCACAAACATTTTCAGCCCTGAAAAAATATGGGAAGTGTCAATCTAACTCCTAATTTCCATATTGAAGAACTAGCAGGGAGTCGCCACTAAAGTTTCTTAACATAATCCCTATCAAAAATATATTTCTGAAAGATATGGTTTTTCTTATATTTTCCCCAGCTGGTAAGAAGACCCTTCTTGTCAATGAGACTTATTTTGACACTTCTCAATCGCCCAGGGACCCCAAAAACGCCTTAGATCCATTCATATTCATGAACCAACTGACCCGAAGAGTAGGAGCAGGGACGTAGAAGTAGATTTATTTTACTTTTCTTCTCAGGGTGGTCTGGCTGTATATTGTTAACTTGTTATTGTAGCCGTTTTTACGCAATACAGTTTGTATCTCAAGAGAGAGAGGTTCACCATTTCGGTCTATGATAAGTCATAGTTATGCAAAATACAGATAGATCGTGTAAAATATGCCTTTCTTTATTTTGGCTCTCAAAGATTTAGCCTTTTTTTTTGACACTGATGTAAATTTTTGCTTTCTTTATGAATCGTATGTCACAGACAATTTTTTAAAAAATAGAATGAGTAGTGCTTCTTATTAACCTTGTGTATATGATATACACAATATTTAAAAAGAATTATATAATAAATAATATTCGGTATTTTTATCAAAGTTAAATGAATATGAATATCAAGGAAATAACATATTTAATTTCTTTAAAGTTGTCATCCTTGCCAAATGGGAAAGATCCTAATGTACATTTGAAATATATTTTCACACAAAAAATGTTTCAGTTTCAAAAAGAAAACAAAAAGAATCTCGGTGTTGCAACTTGTACATTTTTTTTATATTACTTTGGTTTAAACTTTTCAAAACATCCCTTAAGTAAAAAAGTGCATTTACCACAAGTAAGTACATTTTACACGAAAAAAGAAATTAGATTTAAATGGGAGTGAATATCATTTTTAATTACTCAACTCTTTGTAGGAGAGTAAAGACAGAATATACTTTTATCATGGATTAACATTTTTAACTGAAAGACTGTCTTGAATGTGGGACCCATTACTTGACATTACGTGAATACAGCCTTAAAAAGGGCCTATTTGTTATTTTTTCTTTTTTAAAATGTATTTCTTTGAAATTTTTCAAGAAAATACAGCCTTTTAATCCATAACTTTAAAATCATAAAAAAATTGCTAGAAATATTTTTAAAATTAAAAAAAAATACAGAAAATGACGTTAATTTTTATATATATAATTCTTCTGGGCATGTGTATGTGACTGAACTCCTCCTAAACGGCTGGACAGATTTTTATGACATTTTTTTGTGTGGGTTCAAGTGGATTCGAGAATGGTTCAGATTCACAATTTGGTCTGTTATCGCAATTAGTTAAAAATGCGCCAAAATTATGTAAGGGCACGCGATTATTCATAAAAAAATCATAGGCAATATTCTTGAGGCCACTATTTTGAGCGGCAAATTTCAAGGTGAAGTTGTACTTCT